GCCAATGACCGCTGCCAGGCATGCCTCGCCCTGGAAGACGCTGGAGCGGCCGGGCCCTTCGCCGTGGGCAAGGGGCGTCCGCGGCCCGATCCCGCGCTCTCGCTCGAGTCGCTTGTTCCGCCGGGCGCTTGCCCGTTCTCGCCATCCTGCAGCGGGCCCTCGGCGCCGCCAGCCTCGCCGTCCTCGCCGCCGACCTCGTCGAAGGCGGGGGCGAGGGCAACGAGTGGGCGGCCCGCTGCTGGCGCCGCCGCGCCGCGCATAATTGGCCAGACGAGGCTTGCAATAGGCCCGCGGGGCCGTCTGATCGCCAGCTCATCGCGTTCCTCCTCGAACTCTGCCGCCGCTGGGGCAGTCTCTGGCCTGGGGGGGCGCCCCGCCGCGTCCACCTCCGCAGTAGTCCTTCGCGCCGCGGCTGCAGGGAAAGCGCAACTGGGCGCCGAGGCCAGCGCCGCCCCGGGAGGCGAGCGCGCCGCCGGCGTCGCGCCAGCGGCCCCCGCTGGCAGTGGCGAGGCGCGCGGGGCCGCTGGCCTGCGTTGGGCGGCAGGGGCACCTCGGGCCCTCTGGGAGCGAGCGCGGCGCCCCTGGGCGCTTGGGCCTGGCCCCGCGCGCGGGTTCTGATCTCTGGCCCGCGTTGGCCAGCGCGCTGTGCGGCGGGGTCGTGGCTCGCGGTTGCTCTCCGCGTCTCCAGCGCGCGCCGACCACTCGGGCGATCGCGCGGGCGACGACGGCCCTCCCCAGGCTTGCGAGCTCGGCGTCCGCCCCGAGCAAAGGGAAGAGCGCCGGGCCACTGAGCCAGACGCCGCCGCCGCTCCGCCACTGCTTGGGCCAATGCTGGCTGTCTAGGGGCTCGCGCGATTTCCCTGACAGGATGGACATTGCGCGGGGCGCGCGCATGGGGCCCCGCTCAACCCGCCCCTGTCGTCGCCACCTCCCCGCGGCCCCGCGGGTGTGATCTCCCGGCCGCCTGCCCCGGCGACGAGCTGCTGCGGCGCCTCCAGGGCATTCGACGCCGGGCGGGGCGCCCTGATCCATGGCGGGATTTTTCTTTGTGCGCCGCCGAGGAAGGTGGGCCGCAGTTGCCCTCGCGCCGCCTAGCGACCTTCTTAGGCCGCGCCTTCGAATATAGGCCGCGCGGGGGTCCCGCTCAACCCGCCCCGGTCGTCGCTGCTGCCGCGCCGCCCCGCGGGTGCGATCTCCCGACCGGCAGCGACGGGCTGCTCGGGCTCCTCCAGGACATTCAACGCCGGGCGTGGCGCTCTGATCTATGGCGGGATTTCTTTTTGTGCGCCGCCGAAGAGGGTGGCCCCCAGTTGCTGTCGCGCCGACCCGCGACCCTCCAAGCCGCGCTTTCGAATATAGGCCGCGCAGGGGTCCCGCTCAACCCGCCCCCGTCGTCGCTGCCTCCCCGCAGCCTCGTGGGTGCGATCTCCGGACCGCCGATCCCAGCGACGAGCTGCTAAGGCGCCTCCAGGACATTCGACGCCAAGCGGGGCGCCCTGATCCATGGCGGGATTCCTTTTTGCGCGCCGCCGAAGATGGTGAGCCGCAGTCGCTCTCGCGCCGACCAGCGACCTTCCTAGGCCGCGTCTGCGAATATAGGCCGCGCAGGGGTGCCGCTCAACCCGCCCCGGTCGTCGCTACCTCCCCGCAGCCCCGCGGGCGCGATCTCCCGACCGCCTGCCCCGGCGACGAGCTGCTGCGGCGCCTCCCGGACATTCGAGACCATGCGGGGCGCCCTGATCCATGGAGGGATTTTTTCTTGTGCGCCGCCGAAGGGGGCAAGCCCCGGGTACTCCCACGCCGACCCGCGGCAGTTGGACCCCCTGCTCTGTCAAGCGGTGGTCGACGCGTGAGGGTTTGAGTGGCTCGAGGGATGGCGCCGGCTCCCCCTGCAGCAGTGCCGCGAGCTGGCGCAGCGCCCCCTACCGCTAGCAAGCCATGGGGACCTCCCGCAGGCCGATGTGCGGCGCCGCTGCCCGCGCAGAGGCTTCCGCCTCCCTGGCGCGCCGGGGCCCACCGGTGGGCAAGTCCCCCCGAGCCCGAGCGACGCGTGGCCTGGAGGGAGGGGGGAGGACTGGCCCATTTTTCGGTGCTTTCCGACGCCGTCGCCGTAGGCGCACCTGCCTCGCGCGAGGCCGCCCCCATGGCGACGCGGGGAGCTTTCGTGGGCGCGCCTCCCGACGAAACATGTGCTGGTCGCCCGTCGCACCTTGGGCGCCGCAGGCGGGCTTCCGCCTCGTCGGGCGCGACGCCCCCGGCCCCCACCGCTCCGCTTTCGCGGCGGAGGCCAGCCTTTCGGTCCATCGGCGTCACCCCAACGTACTAATACTATGTGTGCGTCGCCCCCCCAGCGGCGACGCGCGCACCGAGAAATCTTATTGTCGTGGTGGGCGCTTTCTGGCCACGCCGCTCGGGAATCGATCTCTTACAAGATAGTTATACTTTATATTATATGTTCGGGTCAGACGCGCGCCCCCAAGGAGGATGCATGGTACTATAATGTTTCTGTGCGTCCCAGTCCAGGGGGTCCGAGCCGCCCGGCGTGAGCGCCAAACGCCTTTCCCTTCTGGGCCACCGCCGCTCAGGCTCGCCTGGCGCGACCCGAGCCGCGACAGGCCCCGCGCCCTCGGGTCCGCAGGGTGGCCTGCCTCGCTCCCGAGGGTTTCGAGGAGCCGCGAGGCCGCCCTCGAGGCCCGCGGCCGGCCGGGGGAGCGAGCCAGCCCCAGGCACAGCGCGCGTCGCCCGCGGTCCGGCTGCCACGGCCCTGCCCTTGCCCGAGGTGCGCCCACGCCCCAGCGCGCCGCCAGCGCGCGCGGCCGCCCACTGGCTCCGCCACTGCCAGGACCTGGCCGCGGTCGGCGGACCACTCTGGGTCCGCGGGCGCCCCTCCGCCGAATCAGCGGGCCACCGCTGGACAGGCGACCGTGGCCGCCGCCTCCGCTGCCGCCGGCGCCGAGCACCTTGCTCTTCGAGTAGGGGATCATCTGCATAGTCGATGGGCTCCAAGTGAACCTGGCGCGACCCCAATTAACGGAAAACTGCCTATTGCATGGGCGCAGTGTTTGGCATTGCTTGGCATTTCTTGGCGTTGCTTGGCGTTGCTTGGCAGTGCTTGGCATTGCCGAGGGACGCGAGGAACCCGAGGAAACCGAGGAACTCGAGGAACCCGAGGAACCCGAGGAACCTGAGGAACCCAGGGAGCCCGAGGAACCTGGGGACCCTCCGAGGAACGGACAAAGTAGCCTCCCGAGACACCAACGTTCAACCAGGTAAGAACCCTTCAGGCAAGCCTAATTGGGGAAATTGTTTCTTCCATGGAATCTACGAGCCCATGGAGTGCTCCGTGGATCTACGGAACAGTATTTTTTGGGGCAGATTCGAAGGACAAATCAATTTTGGGTAAAACAATTCTGTGGTTGATCTTTTACTCGAGCTCTGGTTTCCCACGTGTCAACGGTACTGGGCGCTGCCTCCCCCGTCACCAGCTGCGTCAGCGCGGCCTCGCACCTGTGGGCCATTCCGCACGCGCCAGCTGCGGGGCTCGCCGGGCTCTCTGATGGACCTCAAGACTTTCCGCTCCCTCCCGCCAGACGTGCTCTTCGCCGTGGCCCTCGGCGCTTCGGAGCCTGCCCCCGCCTCGTCGGGCGCCGGGGTCAGGCGCGCCGTCCCAGAAGCGTCCTCCCTCCCGCGGTGTTTCTGGTTGTGGACGGAGGCCTAGGCGCTGAGCGCCACGGGCATCTTGATCCCCCGTCACTGCCTCCGCTCCCGCCCTCACCTTGCTTCGGCGTCGTGCTGCCCTGGTCCTTCTCCCCGCCCATGCTGGTGCCCCGCGGGACACCCGTGCAGCACAGTGTGGGCTCCTCCTCCTCGCCGACCATGCCCAGTCGGTATGTGCTGCCGCCCACTGGTTCGCGCTGCGACCACCGCGTGGGAAGTTCCCGTGGCGGGCAGCGTCTTTCTCCTCTGTGCCATCCACGCCCAGATGTCTATGGCTGCCGCTTCCTAGGATGGCGCCTGCGTCGACCTAAAGCGATCCCGTTTGAGGGTCCGGCCGCGCGCGCCCGCTTCTGTTGCTCTCGAGTTACACCGCCTCGTTGCCGCGCGCGAGGCCGCGACCGCAAACCAACAAAACAGTGTGTGTGTGTATATGTGTGTATGCCTATGGCCGGCGGCTGCTGCTGGACCCCTGGCAGTCTTTGAGGGCTCGGCCGCTTTCGTCGCGCGCTCGCGGCTGCCGTTCTTCGACTTTTTCCGCCCTGTCGCTGCGCGCGGGGCCGCGACGCCAAACAAAGTGTGTGTGTGTGTGTGTGTGTGTGTGTGTGTGTGTGTGTGTGTGTGTGTGTGTGGGGGCAGCTGGCGTGTCCGTGGGCTTGTTGTGGGCTTCTCCAGAGGCTGATGGAGAACGAAGATTTGTTTGCAGCTATCGACGAGGTGGTAAGCACGATGCGCGCCGCTTCGCGGGTAGCACGGCCAGACAGGCTCTCCGTCCGCTTCTCTCCCGTCCCCCACTGGCTCCTGTTCCTCCTCCGCCTCGTCAAACTCTTGTTCTCGACGCCTCCTCCCTCGTCTGCTCGTTCTCCCTTCCTCCCCCTCCCTGCCCCTGTGCCTCCCGTTCTCCTCCTCCTCCTCCTGCTCTTCCCCTTCCTCTCCGAGGACGGCTGTTGGTTTCGGCGGAGCGGTACTCGGCTGCCCGATGCCCCCTTCCATGCCGCATGCCACTCCGCCCCTCTGATGAGCCATGCTGGGTCCAGGCTGCATGCACAGACAAATCATCATGAACATGCGCTCTGTGAGGTCCGCGCGGATTTCTCTGATCGGCGCTGGGACCCTGGCTTTCTCCCCGCGCCGAGGAAGGGGGCCGGCCCAGCGTGACGCCAAGGAATCCACATTGACCTCCGACAGTTTATGCTGATGAAGTCCTTTTCCTCTAGGTACTTACCCACATCGATGCCCTCACGGTGTGGACACCGAGGCGTGGTCCGATGGATACGTGATCCCACAGATGCGGTCCGCGCGCGGCATCCGCGCAACGCCGCTCTGCATCCATGGGATCGCGGGGGGGGGAGTCAAGACCGCGAGTCAGTGGATGTGGATGCGTTTATCGCTCCCGATAGGGGGCGGAGACGACGCGGGGTGAGTAATCGCACGCCGTCTGTTGACCCTGAAGAGGTCGGCGGATCCTGTACGATGCTGCTGAGCCCAAGGAGGAAATTCATCATCAAGCGGATAATAACTGGCTTTCCAGTCTTTGTGCTTACCAAGGCCGCGTCAAAGTCGCCTCTTCCCCCACATGGTGGGTTATTGTGATTTACAACCTAATCTTATTCCTTGCCCTCGAGTGGCATGGCGACGAACTGCAGGAGCGTGATCCAACCGGTTTCGTAATGCATGCGCGAGGGCTGTCCTTTACCCCACTGCGGCTGATGTCCGTGGGCCTCATGTTCTTGCTCGTCTTCCGCACGCAGAGCGCATACAACAAATGGCTCGTCGCAAGGAATTCGTGGGGTAAGATGACCGTCGCCTGCAGGGATATTGCTTCGAATGTCTCGAACTACTGCCACGACCTGGACGCGGTGACCGTCGTATGCCGCTACCTGATCTTGTATGTGATCAGCATCCGCTCATGGCTTCGCCAGCGGGAACTGTCAGCCAAGCTGATCGGCAGACTTGTTACACCCAGGCTGCTGGAAATGCTCGCCAATGCCCGTGACGAATCAACCGGCGCCGTCGCGATTTCACAACACCGCAGGCGTATTGTGGATGATGATTCGCTGGGATGGCAGTTCAAGAGTGTGGCCTATCCTCTGGTTATGATCGAGAGCCTACGTGCAATTCTGCAATTCCTTTGTGAGCACAAAACCATTGCACCCTTTCAGGGCTCGCTGGAGGCGAGCCTGAGGGTCATGGTTCAATGTCTGTGCGAGATGGAAGCCGTACAGGATACAGAGCTCCCGTTGTCATACATAATTCACATACGGACGACCATTGCTGTGTTCTTTCTGGTCACCCCATTTTTCTTGACAGAGGATTCTGGCTGGTTTGGTCTTGCGTTTATCCGTAAGGACTTCGCCGTCAGCCGCCGGCCCCCTCTATAGTAATGAGATAGATCAGAGTCGCGTCGGTGCATCTCGGCGCTGCCTTGGCGCATCTAGGAACATCATGCGAGGGCGGATAGGGATCATCAGCGCATATTGAGACGTTGGCGTTATCCGAGTGGCTTTCGGTTCATCCCGCGACCGTGCCTGGGTGGTGGGTCTGAGGCCTCTTGTATAGGTGTTGGGGTGTCGTGGGGAGCCTCTCGGGAGGTTCTCGGAGGCGGTTTGGGCGCCGCTTAGGGGCCTCCTGGGGCCTCGTGGGGTATCTTTTGGGCCTCTTGAAGGCCTCTTCGGCGCCTCTTGGGGCCTCTTGGCGGCCTCTAGGGGCCTGCTGGGGGCTTCCCGGGGTACACACATAGGATTTTAAGTTCGTGGTTCCCTGCGGGCCTCTCTCGGGGCCGTGTTGGGGCCCTCCTGGGCCGTCTTGAGCGCTTCTTGGGCCATCTTAGAGGTCTCTTGGGCCGTCTTGGGGCCCTCTTGGAGGCCTCCTGGGCTATCTTGGGGCGGTCTCGGGAGCTTCTTGAGCCGTCTCGGAGCGTCGAAAACTCGAAACTGCGGTAAGGCCAAAATCCTTCAAAAACCTTTGTCAAATTTGGGGCTCTCTCGGGAGGCCTCTTGGAGCGCTCTTGGGGCCTCTGAGGGCCCTCTTAGGCCGTCTGGAACCATCTTCGGGCGCCTTGAAGCACTCTTGGCCTCGGCAATTCGAACATGGTGTACTTTGCAAAGGTTTATAGCATTTGCATTGCGTATATGGTTTACGTGCGAGAGTTTGTGGCCTCGGGGACGCGCAAATTGTTAAATTTACGAGGATGTGTGGCCTCGGAAACGCGATTATGGGGTAATTTACAAGGGATTATGGCCTCGGGGGCGCGACTCTCGCGTATTTTTAACATGTCCCTCGCCCCCCCGGGAAGTCAGAGCATGCGATCCGAGGTTGGTAAATTGCCGGTTTGGGGCTCCCCCCCCCTCGCGCGGACTTCAGCAGTTTACGGTAGGAAGCAGAAAGCAGGACTGTAACATTGGAGACTTGAATTTGCAACTGGCGCAGTGAGCAGCAACCCAGCCCTACAGCCTGGTGGCCCCTCAAGGGGGCCAGCGGATTATCGTTTTCTCTTACATGCTCCTTGGCCTGGAGAATTTGGCCGAGGATTTGTCGAACCCGTTCGGGCGAGACAGCAACGACCTTCCGACTGACATCTACGTATGCAAGATCGCCAGAGACATCAGCGATTCAATGCAGAAAAGGTTGCGCCCGCGGGCGAAACGAGCCTTGAGCGACGAGCTGTAGGAGGAGGGTATACCGACATTACATTTGTAGTGCCGCGGGGCCCATTTCGAATCAGGAAGGGGTTTGGGTTTTAGATAGCGATGTCAGCATTTGCGAAGACCGCAATGCCGAAGCGTGTTCGGCCGGCGGCGTTTGCCTGGTGAGTGATGCTCGGGCATTTGCATTGCCGAGTTCTTCTGATTGCAAGGCACGTGGAGGTGCTTGCCAGCAGCCTGGAACCTCCATCAACGACGCGCGTGCAGCCATGACGATGAAATAAGGAGCAGTTGGGGCTCAGAAGTGGCTCGCTGTTTCTTCTTTCATTGTTCATCCTCTACCGCTCCCCGTGCACCCGGCTGCTTCTGGGGCCCCAAAGGGACGTCGGTGCTTCTTGAGCGTTCCGCACGCTTGAAGCTTTACGTCCGCGCGGCTCTTTCTGGTGGTGGCGCAGATGGTCGGTCCGAGTCAGGGCCCCCCTTTGCGCTCAACAAGTGCATGCAAAAGCAGCGCCCTCTTGTGCAGCCTGCGAGCTTCCGTGTCCAAAACAAGGTCGATCATTCCAACGCCTCCGTCTCCCAGGCGGCATCCTTGAGACTTGGACACAAGACCAGAACCTGCCCACCGCCCACTGCCGCCGCCGCCTGCCGCGTCGCCGCCCGCCCGCCCCGCCCGCCTCCCCAACGCTACACCCAGTACTCTACAGCCTCCGTCTCCAACACAACACCGCGCACTCCTCAGCTTCCTGTCTCCAAGGCAACGTGCATGCAGTACTCCACAGCCCTTCCAAGACACGTTCCTCAAGAAAAGTGCTAAACACCTGAGCCACCCGCCGCCGCAGCCGCCCGCCGCCCACCGCGCGCCCCGCTCGCCTCTCCAATGCCACCCCCAGTATTCCAGCTCTTCGGAAACGCTCAGGTGGCCCCAAGAGACTCTACAGAGGCCTTACCAAGCGCTTGAGGGGCGCCCTTTAGTTTCTGTGTGTGGGGGGTCCCTGACCGCTGCCTGGGGCCAGAGCCCCCGTTCCTTCACCGTACTCGACGATTTAGATATTCCAGAACACACGCTGGGCCATGCAGAAACCCGCTGGGAAACAGAGAAGTAAATCTGGCCACAGAGAAACCTTCTGTCGGTGGAGGGGGTCGGGGTGGGGGGTGGCGGGGGGGGTGGATGGGGGGTGTGGGGTGGGCGAGGGTGGAGGTGGGGTGGGAGTTTGCCACATCGGCCCTCCCCCCCGTTGGGGGAGGGGTAAACTCCTCCTGCGGTGGCGGATGTATCTATACGACTACCCTCGGTTGATCAGGAGGTTGGTGGGGGGGTGGAAGAACCAACTGACGACGACTGCCATGGCGGTGATGATGATGATGCTGGTGAACCATGAGGCCAAAACATGCCACTACCACTGTGCTGTGATGATTTGTGCTAGGTGTGATGGGTGTCACCTGATGGCAAGATGATGACCGCAGCGGTGAAGAGCGAGGCGGCGACAGCAATGGCGGTAGTGCTGAATACGATCGGTACACCATCGGAATTATCGGGACAAATAAAGGCACCACCACTGCGCTGCGATGGCAATGTGACGATGCGGCGTCACAGTCGATCCTGTGGCCGGTTCAAAACCGTTTGGCGTATCGGGTTCTTTGCGATCCGCCCAAGTCTCATCATGGACACCACCAGGACACCATCGAGACATCATCGAAACACCACCAGGGCACCATCAGGATACGCATCTGGATACTAATCGGGACACCATCGGAACACAACTTGGGGCACATATCGGGACACCACCAGGGCACCACCGAGACACCATCAAAGCACCACCAGGACACCATCAGGACACCAATCGGGACACCAATCGGGACACCAATCGGGACACCACTATCACTCTTGATATCATTATCGATCTCATTATGACCGATCCCACCATCGCTCTCACTCGACCGATCTTGCTTTTGATCTCACTCCAGATCTCACTAGTGATCCCACTATCGATCTCACTATCGATCTCGCTATCGATCTCACTATAGGTCTCACTATCGACTTCATCACGGGACACCACGGGACACCCACGGGATTCCGACGGGACACCGAAGGGACACCGACGGGACACCTGCGGGACACCGACGGGACACCGACGGGACACCGTCGGCATACCATCGGGATTCCAACCGATCTCATTTTCGATCTCTCTATCGATCTCACTCGTTCGATCCGACCATCGATCTCACTATTGCTCACACTACCGATCTCACCATCGATCTCACTATCGGTCTCACTGTCGATCTCACCACGGGACACCACAGGACACCGACTGGACACCGACGGGACACCAACGGGACACCCGCGGGACACCGACGGGACACCGACAGGACACCACGGGACACCATCGGGACACCATTTGGCACCAATCAATCTGACTTTCGATCTCACCATCGAACTTACTGTCGATCTCACTCGCTCGATCTCACTATAGATCTCACTATCGGCCTCACTATCGATCTCACTATCGATTTCACCATGGGACACCAACGGAACACCGAAGGGACACCGAAGGGACACCGACGGGACGCCGACGGGACACCGACGGGACAACAACGGGACACCGATGGGACACCGACGGGACAGCGACGGGACCGCGACGGGACAGCCACGGAACAACTGGACGACGACGAGACACCGACGGGACATCGACGGGACACCATGGTCGTCGTCGTCGTCGTCGTCGTCGTCGTCATCGTCGTCGGCTGTCGCCATGGCCGTTGCTCCGCCCCTGCTCCACCTTTGTTCCCCAGAGGCGGGTAAGTCGCAGGGGTAGGAGGTGCTCAGTAGCCCGCTTTTGGCGTGGTGGGCCGCGGCCCCCCCCTCTCCCCCTTGGCGCGGCCGGCTCGCACACTCTGCCCCCTCCTTTTCTTTTACCTGCTCCTCCCTCCTCCCTCCTCCTTCCCCCACTCCGTCCTCCGTCCTCCCTCGTCCGCCTCCTTCTCCTCCTCCTCCTCCTCCTCCTCCCCGTCCTCCTCCTTAACCTCCTCCGCTTCTCTTCCCCTCCGTAGCTATCTTGGCTCAAGCCATGTGGGCTCAAGCCAGACAGCCTCCCGCGGTTCGAGCCAGCGTGGCGTGGTCCCTGGTTCGGAGCTGGTGGTGGCGCGCTGCAGGTGGAGGTGGCTGCGGGACTCCCCCCTGGTGTGTGGCGAGGAGGGGAGCAGCGTGGCCACGCGGCGGCAGCCGCGTGCGCGGGCTTTCGCGTGAGCTAACAACCTCGTCCAGAGGCTCGACAAGGAGCTGGCGACGGCCGAGTTGAAGCTCACAAGCAGCTGAATGAGCAGATCGAGGCGTTCCTCAGCGAACCCGAGGTGGGAGCGCGGCTGGCGGCCTGCGCGCCTGCGTTGACCGCCCTGCTGGCGGGTCGTACGCCAAGCGACCTCGATCGGCTGCGTCGCAAAGTCGCCCTGCATGCGGCTGCCGAGGGCCTGGACGTCGGCACTGCGGCCCCTGGCGAGCTCAGGGCAGCGCACCGGGGGCCTCGCCTGGGAGCTGGCGCCGCGTTGCGGCGGGACGTGGACGACGACGTCGAGTCGGACTTGGTGGAGGCCGCGGCGGTGCCTTCGATGGAAGAGCTGGGCACGGCGGTGGTGCAGTCGGACTGAGACCCTGTTCCGCCTTGGTGCTGTATGCTATGCAGAAGCGGCGCCACCGCCTTCATTAGCGCAGTGACCGAGGATATGGGCAAGAGTGAGGTCGAGGCGGCAGCGCAGCCTTGGACGCGGAGTCCGACTTCTCCGCTTTCCATCCCCTTCGAGGTGATGCACGAGCAGACCGCGCGCCTTGGGGTGCAAGCGCGGCGGCGTGGGGCAGCGCCGCGCTGTGCTGGACGGAGCGGCCGGCCGCCAGCGCTGGGGGGCCAGCGAGGCGCGGGCTCGGCTGTTCGGCGACGCCGGCGCCCTGTGGGGCGGTGCGGCGCTGGGCTTTTTCGGGCCCCCTACGGGGGATGACTACCCTTCCGCTAGCGGCTGCTGCCCCTGGCGTGGATCCTGGCGGGCGCCCGCGGCGCTACCGCCGCCGCCAACGGCTTCCACTGAGTGCAAGCAGATGTGAGATCCTTGGTGTTGTTCGCGATGTGCGTGTCCGTGAGCATGGTCCTCATTGCCGCAGCCCCGCTCGACCAGGTCGTGTGGTGCTCGCCTTCTTGTATTCCTTCCGACTGTCATTCCACTTTTTCCCGGAAAGGGCTCCGGCCCAGGGTTCTCTTTTAGTAGGTAAACCTGTCCCCCGGTGCCAACTTGAGGGAGGCCGGCGAATTTTTTCCCTGATAAATAACGAGGTCGAAGGAGGCCGGCGAATTAAAATTTGAGGATGTCTCGAGCGAAACGCTTGTTTTTGAAATCCCGATCGATAAATCACAGGGTGCGGGCCACTTTTTCGTGTGTTGAGGATGTCTCGAGCGAAACGCTTGCTCCGCAGAGTTTGCCGAGGATGTCTCGAGCGAAACGCTTGTTTTGCAGAGCCGACCGCGACGCGGAAAAGCGCCCCGCGCGAAGGAATTTCGATGATGTTTCGACTAATTTGTTTGTTTTTGTACGATTTCCTGGAATTTTGGCAGGATGTCTCGAGCGAAATGCACGACCCCACCCTAGCACGACCATACCCCAGCACGACCACACCCCAGCACGACCAGACCCCAGCACGACCCCACCCCAGCACGACCCCACCCCAGCACGACCATACCCCAGCACGACCACACCCCAGCACGACCCGACCCCAGCACGACCCTACCCCAGCAAGACCACACCCCAGCACGACCACACCCCAGCACGACCTCACCACAGCACGACCACGCCCCAGCACGACCACGCCCCAGCACGACCACGCCCCAGCACGACCACGCCCCAGCACGACCACCCCAGCACCCCCCAGCACGACCACCCCCCAGCACGACCACCCCCCAGCACGACCACACCCCAGCACGACCACACCCCAGCACGACCACCCCAGCACGACCACACCCCAGCACGACCACACCCCAGCACGACCACACCCCACAGGACCACACCCCAGCACGACCACACCCCAGCACGCACCCCAGCACGACCCCACCCCAGCACGACCCCACCCCAGCACGACCACGCCCCAGCATGACCACACCCCAGCACGACCACACCCCAGCACGACCACTCCCCAGCACGACCCCACCCCAGCACGACCCCACCCTAGCACGACCACACCCCAGCACGACCACACCCCAGCACGACCCCACCCCAGCACGATCACACCCCAGCACGACCCCACCCCAGCAAGACCACACCCCAGCACGACCGCACCCCAGCACGACCTTACCACAGCACGACCACACCCCAGCACGACCACGCCCCAGCACGACCACGCCCCAGCACGACCACGCCCCAGCACGACCACGCCCCAGCACGACCACGCCCCAGCACGACCACCCCCCAGCACGACCACCCCCCCAGCACGACCACCCCCCAGCACGACCACACCCCAGCACGACCACTCCCCAGCACGACCACACCGCCTTGGTTGAGTGGTTGCCTGTCGTCGTGGAATGTTTCGTGGGGTGTCTCGTGGAATGTTTCGCGGGGTG